CCGCAACCCATCCGAGACCTTCAACATGCCACGAGAAGTGCTTTCAGTTCAGCGGCACAAAAAGCTCAGAGAGACAGCTACACGCACTTCCTCACAGCTGGATAAAACAAATCTTAACAGCACACCTACGCCTCACCAAAGCGCTTCGTTTTTTTATCTACACCCTCAAACGTATTGTGTTGTCTCTAGGTACCAGGAACCTATCTATCATTTCAGTCTAAAAACAGAATCTGCATCACCCTCTTCAGTGTGAGTGAAACCCCCCCCCCATCCCACCGAATTGATTTCTCCCAGTCGAGGCCTTTCCCAGTGTGGACCGCATCCGCAACAGTGTCATCTTTACCGCCAGTCCTCTTTTAACTGGCTTTTACTCTAGTGGCGGAATGTACAAACGATGAAGGCGGAGGGGAAGAAAGAAACAGAAAAACTGAGACATGCGCTCCAAAGTTTCGTCTATTGATTTCTTTTTGATGCACAGCCGAAAAAAAAGGGAAGGAGTTCAAAGCTGAGGAGATCTTTTTTTGATCACCACTAGAATAGCTTTGTTGGTAGTCGGCATGGAAGCAGCGGTGCTAGACGGAAAGTGTCGGTGCAGATTTCTTTGTTCTGGCCGAAGCCCCATGGCAAAGGACCCTGACCTGGTGTGGCCAACGTGGTCTTTAGCGAGACGTAACATTAACGCATGCTGAGGGTAATCTTCAAATTCAGAGCTGTCCGTTCATACGTCGCCCTGCTGGACACAAAGAGAATACGTTTGGCTACTGCACTGTGGTTAACTGCAGACAACTGCTTACTGCCACATAAGGAGATATTCAGAAACTAAAGAGAAGAGCATTCAGGAATTAGTAAAAAAAAAAAAAAAAAAAAAAACTTTTATTCAAATTTAAATTATTTTCATGAAAAAAATATATATATTTATATACATATATACATACATAATACATACATATATATATATTCTTGATATTGGCTTCTTTAATTTTTTTTTTCTGTATTTTTTTCATCGATGCAACACACACACACACACACAGAACTTCTGAATCTCACCACATCATATGGCCAAAACCGTCTGACCATAAAGCAGTCAGCGTTTGCATCTGAAGCACAGGGGGGGACTTTGTCCAACCTAAACAATGGATTAGCGAAGGATCGTGCTGCAGGACTCTACGTGATTTCATTGGACCCCGACCGCCTCTACCTTCACACGCTCAGTGGCCAAATTCTACTCGATGGAATTCCTGAACTTGAATTCGCGCAACCACACATTTGATGGAAAATGCTATTAATTTACACTTCAATTAAATTATGCAGTGAATATATCTGGGATTGTGGTGAGCGAGAAGCTTACTAAAACAACTGGGCCGTGTCCAAAAAAAGCTCCTCATTCTACAGGCCACCCGAGGGACGGAGTCTAAATCACTTCAACTTCCTCTAAAAAGTTCACCTAAAACTTCCTGGAAGCACAACAGCCATGCTCAAAAGAAAATAAAGTTAATTGGTAAAAACAACAGTAATTATCAAAAAAATGGATGGAATGGCGACCAACAGGCCTACGGAAAATGTCTTCAAGTAGGCTATGGATTATGCCTCAGAATAATGCTTAAAAAAATAAAAGATTGTGTAAACAAAACAAAGCTTTAGTAAGCACATTCATTTTTCTGTAATTTAAGTATCACAAAGACACAAAATATGACTGGATAGTCAATCTGAAACACAATTTACAAAATTATTTATTTTACTTTATTTGCCTATAAATATATTGCATATTTGTCTATATGTAGCATAAGCAAAAGATAATTAGGTAAAATTATAATTTAGTTAAATAATAAAATATAGCATGGTAAAATACTAGCTTTTAACCAACTGGAATTGAACAGGCCAAGAAAAGTTGGTTGGAAGGCAAGAGGGTTTAAGGAATTAGTGATTTCAGCCAAGACATAACACACCAAAAAAGTCAATGATGGTTAAATACATTTCTTAAAAATAATGCACTTGTTATCTTTAAAACTGGAGTTTACTTCGTCCTTATCTCGTCCCCCTCCTCTTCCTCTATCTCTTTCTCCATTCTGAGCTACTTTCCCAAGCTACTCTATAACAGGCCTGTGAAAGGAGGTCACATATCAACTTACCAAGCGTCTCTCTCTGACCATATGACCCCTTCGGCAGTTCACGAGGCCCCATGTCATTCCATCACACTCGCTGTCCCCCCACATTCACATCTTCCAAACCACCATCTAAAAGCTGCCCTCTCCCCTCGTCTGCCCATATCCCGACACTAATTGGTAAATCTGTTGAACCATAGCACGCCCAACAATGAGACACCTGGAGTTCTGTCAAAACAAGTTTCCCTGTGAAACAGCCTCAAGTGCTAATACAGTACGAGTCCTGGCTAACGCCGTCTCGCTCAATGCCGTGCAGGAATATAATGCGTGTGTGGTGGGGGAGGTGTCATAGAAAGGTGCGGAGGGGACGTGTTAATGCCACTTCTATTAGAGTTTAGATTCTCAGAAGTTTGGGAAGGAGGAGCACAATACTGTCTGGCTCCACTGGAAGCCCACAGGAAGTCCTTGTGGAAGTTTTGGCCCCGACAAAAATCCCAAACATTCTTGCAGTTCTTGTTCGACTCCCTCCCCGCCCACCATCCCTTCTGCACTCTCTCTATTTTAGACGGACCGTGAGTAGTGCTCTACATATACTCAGAGTGCTAAAACGGCAACATGCGCAGCTAAGTTTGAAAACCTAACTGAGAACATGGAACCTGTATATTTGCTTGCCACTTAGCTGAAACAACACACACAAATACAAGCAGCAACACGCACATGGAGGCATTAGGGCGACATATGGACAAACATTTAGATTGTTCCATTCAAACAAGTTCTCAAACACATATGAAACAGAGATACACTACTTAAGGAACTCTTGGTGAACCTTGTCAAACTAGTTCTGACAGAAACTCTTTTTACGAAAACAAAACAGTTCTGCCCCCTGTAATTAGTGTCAGATAATAAAACAAATGAAGATTTATTGTTTTGTGATTTTTATAAATTAATAGACCAATAGACCTCTTAGCAACAATCCCTTATACAATGTGGGTCAACTAACAGCATCAAATCAGTGTGAACTAGTCAAAACCAGCATGGGAAGGACCAGGTAATGCTAGTCTAACTGAGGGCTAGATTCAATGAAACACTCTTAATAAACTAAAATTAAAATGTTCTTTATTTATATATATATATATATATATATATATATGTATATATATATAATTATTTTATTCTTATTTTCTAACAAGAAAAAAAGTACAATATTTTGTATTCCAGAAAAAAATGTCTTTAAATGGTTTTTAAAATAAATGTAAAAATCATTAAAAACATTCTTAAAAATAATTCTAAATAACTTCAAACAACTGCAAAGCCTGCCATTTTATTCTTAAAAATTATAATATTAAAATAAATGAGAATTTAAGATTTGTTCAAGAATTGCACTTATTTTATCCTAAAACGTTAGTATAGGACCAATAATTCTGCCAAGATGTATAGCTACTATGTTTTGTTAAACTCTTGCAATATTTGCTTTGGCTGCTCTTAAGATTAGCTTTAGGAATTGCTTCTGGACTCCAATTTAAATCTCACAAGACTTTTCACAGAATGAAGGTTACCATCTCGACATGGCCTACATGACCCCGAGGGACAAGACAAAAATAAGACAAGCACATCCCACAATGCCACAGCTTTCTCTATAGCCCTAAACACAAGGAGATGAGCTAAACAATCGCTCGCCCCACTGATCCTTGCACCGCTGCTGAGTTTTGGCAGACCAAGGCTACCCATCGTGCCCCCCTTTCGAATTCCACACACTGTTTGTGTCCATCAAGGAGGGCCGAGGCGCAATTGAGACACTCAGCGGCAGTGGCCCCATGTTGCGTCACTCCACGCCACATCAAAACTGAAGAGCGGTGCCAGACATGCACTCTCGTTCGCCGTTCTCCTTCTCTCTCCCTCTACCTCATGTCGACGGACAAGAGGACAATTAGAAGAAGGCCTTGTATCATCCAAACATCCTTAACCTCGTCCCACGCAAACCAAGTCATGCAGACATTTACACACACATGGGTGCGCGTGTGCACACAAAAACACAAACCACTCCACCTCCTAACTTCTCGCTGGCATACGTTCAACCCCAGATGCTACAAATGAAAAGCATCCTCTTCACGCCAGCTGCTTCAGAGAAAAGGAAAAGAAATCAGAGAGAAATAATCGCCACCATTCCGGAAGATGCAGGAAAATAATTAACAAGGCTGAAGCGGGGCCTGCGAGGAGACAAAGATGAAGCTCAAGAGGCATTTCGGGCTGCCAGGAATCCAGAGATGCTGAATTTTGCACCGCTGGAGTGGCGCTGATGCTTTCCTGTTACACGCAAACACTGTATATTGTAACAGGGATCCTGCTACAGACAAAAAGCATCGTGTCAAAGGATAGCAACAGTTTACAATTACCACACAAACTAAAGGCACAAGAGCCAAGTCTGCTCATGAGGGTGTGTGTGTGTGTGTGAGAGTGTGTGTACAAATGCAAAGCAGACTCAACCCCATTTTATATAAAAGAGCAAGAACACAGCAACAAACATATCAAATACAGCAGAACATTGCACTGTTATCAAAAACAAAATAGTTTTTGGCATCTCTCATTGTAATGATTTTGATATTTTCTATTCTCTACCCTGTTGGAAAACCCAGCTTAAGCTGGAAAACTGAAACAAGGTTGCTGGTTTCTAGCTGGTCAAAGCTCTTCCAAGTTGGTCATTAGCTAGTTACCCAGCCACGACGTTCCAAAATCCAACTTGACCACCTTTAGCTGGTTACTTCCAGCTAATGACCAGCTCGGACCAGGAAATAACCAGCTAGAAAATCAGCTACCAGCTGAAACCGGATTTTCCAGCAGGTAATTCATTTAAACAATCAATAAGCCAGCTGCAAGAAACTTGGAATTCAGGATTCTCACCAACTGTAATTGGTGAAGACTCAGATCAGCCTGTCCGGGGAATTCCAAGCAGAAGGGCCCCTGCAAGGCAAAGACGGACGTCCCGTGTCACAAATTGAGAACATGGTACACTCATCACTCAACCAGGGCATGAAGGCAAAAGGCATGACATTTAAAACCACAAAATGTCTAGCTATGTGTGCCACCCCTCTCCTTCCCTGTCTGTTTCCTCTCTGACTACAGTGTCAGGCCGTTGCCACGTACAAGCCCAAACATATCTCGCACACAACATACAATACACGCAGAATACGCAAGTGCATGTTTGTTTACTGTGATTTGAGGTTGTGATATTGTTAGCATGTTGCCAGTGTCTACATCAACTGAACTGACTGACAAAAAGAGTACTGATGTGGCTTTAGGCATTAAGGCTTTGTACACCACGTTCCTGTTGCACCATGTCATCTGAGAAAAAGAGAAACAAGCAATGGCTTAAATTTTTCACAGAGGAAAAACTATCTATTGTTCAGAGTCTTAATGGCATTCTCAATTGCCCTGCAATGCTTGTTTCAAATGCACTTCCGTTCAAATGTTTGGCATCTCTAAGACTTGTTTAATGTTTTCAAAGAAATCTCTTATGCTCACTAAAATATAAAACAGTAGTATTGATTAGTACAGTAGTAAGCTGAATTTTCGGCAGTCATTATTAACTCCTCAGTGTCACACAATCCTTCCAAAATTATTCTAATATGCTGATTTGGTGCTCATGAAACATTTCTTATTATTGAAAACAGAAAACAGTATTTTTGTGGAAACTGTGATACTTTCTTTTCAGAATCGTTTGACGAATAAAACTTAAAAAATTGAAATTTACTTGAAATATAAGCCTTTTGTAATATTATAGCCTTTATGCTAATTTTTGATCAATTTAAAGCATCCTTGCTGAATAAAAACACTAACTTCTTAAAAGAAAAAAAAATCGTACTAACCCCAAACTTTTGAATGGTATTTCATCTCAAACGTTCCTCCTAAAATACTACAAAATGATGTATGTCATACTATAGTGCACAATATGCTAATATTATTGAATTTGCTAACACTGTTAAATGTAATATTTAAAAAATCTCAAAATGAATATTCATTATATCATATTTTTGGGGTGCATAATTCCATTGTAACATTTAGAGTTATCATTAATTTATTTAGATACAATTAATTTGCTGAAAATATTTACTGAAAAGAAAAGTGATATAAAAATGAGAAAACTTCTGAAACACTAAAGGAGACTAAAGGGGAAATCTCAGGATTCAAATCTGAGAATGAATATGAGGAGATTTAAAGTGGCCATTTATCTCACTGCTGCTTAAAGAGATCGCATACATTGCCCTACAAATGGTCCTGTTAATGGGAAAACACACAAGAGTTGTGAGCGTCCTTTATATAACAATATAAACGGCTGAAGGGCTGATGACCTTGACACCAGGTCCCTCGTAAAAGAGTTTGTTGACATTCCTTGAGTTTGGTCAAGGAAATGCTCCAGGGAGGCCTCTCATGCACTACACAAGAGCACACGCTGAGATGTTCTCCAAGCTTTAGCCAAAGGTCTCAGGACAAGTGACATCTCCTTGTTTCTCATGGTCCTGTCAGAAGCGGCACAACTCCGGTTACAGTTACATACAACAGGCCATGGTTACATCACTATGCACCAAACAGCACCAAAAAAGACGGGAAGGAAAAGGCGGAGGCCCTATGGAGAATGAGGGAGCGAGACAAGTGAGAAACAGTTAGTAGAAAGGGAAGGGGAGAACAAAAAGACAGTTGGTTCAGTGTCTTGTGGCTGTGACTCTGGGGTCCTCATTAAGAGCGAGGGGGCTGGGTTTCCCACCATGCCTCTGGCCCTCCCAGCCATTGTCAAGCCAGTCCAGGTGCACCACCATTCAGTCCGAAAAAAAGGCAGCAAATTACCCAGCAAAAACTACAGGCCCCGTGCTAGCTTGAGACACTACTCCTACTCAGCCGGAGTCTGGGAAAATGCCCTGAATGCTTTATCTGTGTGATTCATTTAGTTTACTCTTTATTTTTAACATTAATATCAATACTCAACTTTGTTTGAACTCCAGCTACCAGACAGACTCGTCTTGTGACAGCAAACAGCAATCATGCCCTCATCGTATAGCGGTTCAGGTGGGAGGTCCCGCTCTGTCAAAACGGAACACATTCCATCACTTCCTAAATACCAATTAACATACAGGAACAGACCAGGACTCCTCCAGCTATTCTTCCAAGCTCCACCCCTTCTATTCTTCCTCCTTTCCCTACGTTCTCACTGTTCCAGCGTTTTCCTGCAGTTGGTTCACTTGCACATAGTGCTTGCAAGCATATGCACATTGCTGTGGGGCCTCGTGGGGAAATAGTTAACACTCCAGCCGTCCCCTGCTGCCTGTGAAAGCCCAGAAAACAATGGAGACATTGTCCAGTCTCAACAAGACTCGGAGCAAGAGGACAATGTGTGTGTGTGTGAGAGTGTGTATTAGACAGTGTGTAGTGCGCCTGCATGAGGTTGTGTGTGTGAGTGTATCCTTTTGCCTCAGCATTATTTTAGAGAGCAGCATTAAAATACAAACAATTAAAACAATTAATTGATTTTTATTTTTTTTTATTAAAATGAGTTGAATAAAATAATTTGCAACACACATATGCAGTATTCACTATCAATTTAGCACGTCACCTGACCCGCAAAATGACCGCACTAGCTTTAACCTGGGTATGGTTACCGCAGAGTGCAGACTCAAGTCAACTAGTACGATGAGTCTGGGAAAATAATAATTATTTTATTATTATTTTATTTATTTGCCATTTAGTTTTCTGTCTGTGAATAAATCAGCACTTATTAATTTAGGAAAAAGCTAAACTTATGGTAAAAAATTCAACTACAACATGTCAATCAAATTGTCATTTCCTGTGTAAGTAGACAGTTCTTGACCACAATAAAAAGCTGCAAATGATCAGACTTTACGCTGTGAGTTAAACATCTGGCTATACCACTCTAGTATATGGCCTACACCAAGAAACACTACATAGGGAAACACTGATGGACAGCTGCGCATACAAGTTGAGAAAGGGAACGAGAACAGGAAACTGATCCCGGAACGAATGGCCAATGTGTCACAGATGTGGGGAAATCTATCGTTCCCTTGTTTCCAACTCCTTCCCATTGGAATTGCAATCGCATGATCCCTGCTCATACCGTCCTTGAGTTCACGCTCTGTCCGATGCCAAATACACAGCACATGTGTTTTGCAGTCTACCTGTCTGAATTGTCATTTCTATATTACAGTCTATATAAAGAAAGGGCTTTACAAATCACATTAAAAGTTAGTGGAGATGGCAGTGGGACAAACGCTTTGCAGTGATGTGTTCTTTATGACTTGTGAACAGGTAGTAAATGCCTGCTGACTGTGTGGGACTAACAGGCTTTGAAAAGACTGCAGGGCTCTTGAGTACTTTAAACATCCTGGCACTGCCTTCCATGGGCGTGGACAGAAATGAGAGGTTCACTTCCTGTGACCTATTCATAGAGCAGCGTGGAGTAGCACCCCTATGGCCACAAGATCGTGTGGAGTGTTCCTTTGACTACGGTCACACATTTAGTGCTTATGACTGACAACATATTTACTAACTAGTGGTTGGATTCCACCTAAAAACTTCATATCCCACAACTGATTTATTTTTCATTATGTGATTTTTTTAAACAACTTTTAATTTAGAGCAATATGTAATATAATACATTTAATATTTTTTTTTATTAATATTTTAAAGAAAACAGGCATCCATACACAGGAGCAGCTTGAATACTTTCCATATGAATAAATACTGTCAAGCTTTTTTTCTATTCTCGTGATAGCCATAAAAAGTTTAAAGAGTCACTTAGGTTATAAAACGCAATTTATAACAGAGCCGTGTATGAAAATAACCATATACAGCACTCTAAAATAGGACTGATAACATGTATTCTGCTGCTGTGTGAAGGCAACTAATGTCAAGCATCAGCCTCATGTGTGCTACTGCATTCTCTTTTAGCTGTATATACACTTTTTAGACTTGTTTGTTGTCTCTCTCTCTGTGTCTCCTGCATCGGTCTCACTTCATTGCCATGCTGCCCTTTTACGGTCTCACCTCCTCTCTCCCGCTGTCCACCTGTGCATTTGTATCTCTCTCATTGGTGATTGTTGGGTCACTTGAACTTCGGCTTACGTTCCTTATCTCACGCCCATCGGCGCTCTCTTATCAGCCCATGGCAGACAGGCGTCTTCAGAGCCATGGGTCAAGGTGGGCAGGTGTTCTTCCAATTCGACAGAGAAGAGTAACTACTGTTTACGGTACAATTTATTGATAAGGCCTTCACGTACGGCAGCATATAGGCCAACTTGAGTCAAAAATAAATAAATAAATATAGAGCTCAGGCCATTGCACAGTTATCTATCCCCGACAATACCAACTGTCTCCAGATGGATTCACCAACGGCATGATGCAAACCAAGGAAACATCAAATCAAACACACGTCAGCACAAGAGTAGAATGGGAGAGCGAGAGAGAGACAGAAAGACGGAAGGATGAAGAAATAATGCAAAGTACCATGTTAGGTTTTGATCAAACAGATACGAATTATATGAATGAACTAAATAAATAAACGACCTTAAATGCTAAATAGCTAAACACCATGCAGAGCAAAATATTCATCTTACTCTCTTGCTGTAGGTCTTTAGGGCTGTTTTAAAAGGCAATAGAGAAAACTGCTCTGTGCTGATAAGCATTTACAGCCTCATGAGTCAGAGGGATAAAACTCAAGTGCAGTATTTACCTGAGCCTGTTCTTAACTACCTCCCACTCATTTAATGATTCAGAGAGGGAGGACAATCATTTTTATCTTTCTCTTAAAAAAAAGCACATGGGATGGCTACCCTACTTTTAAATGTAAAAAGTGTTTACTGCCAGTTCAGTAGAAGCAGCTGTAGAGTTGCCACTTCATTCATCAGGTAGTATTTACTGTATTTTTGATCAAATAAATGCAGTCTTAGAGAGAATATGAGGATTCTTTCAAAACCTTAAAAAATATTACCAACCTCAAACTTTTCAATGGTAGTTTATCTAAAATTGCATTAGACAGCAAGATATGGTAACACTTTAGTATAGGGACCAATTCTCACTAGTTAACTAGTTGCTTATTAGCATGCCTATTAATAACATATAGGCTGTTTATTAGTACTTATAAAGCACATATTCTGCATGTCCATATTCTACATCCCTAATCCTACACTTAACAACTACCTTACTATTAATAAGCAGCAAATTAATAGTTTATATTGAGGCAAAAGTCACAGTTAATTGTTTGTTAATAGTAAGAATTAGACCTTAAAATAAAGTGACCCAAAATACAAATACAAAATATTAAATAGCAAATAGTTTTCAGTCAATGTCAAAGCCAACCATGATTTTGACTTTTGATATTGAGTATAATCTTACATACATGGTCTCAGAAAACCACAGGCACCTATTAAATAAACTAAACAAAACAAATAACAATATTAATTCCATGCACACTCTTTAAAGGTAACTGAGAATGTTTAATCTCATTATACCACAATAACAAGGTTAACAACCAAACAATAACTAATAAAATTCAGTCCTGTATGTTCAAAATGTGTTCATCTCTCTGACAAAATATTATCCTGGATTCAATGGATTATTGTCTTATATTCCTAAACATGACCTTGGAGGCACTCTGTTGCTTCCAGTAACTATGGAAACACAATGAAGCCCCCAAACTCCTGCACCACAATGGAAAGACCAAAATTAAATTTGGTCTATTGTCCAAGGAAAGGAATCAATAACCTGATGATTTAACATGGTAACATTATTTTCGCCCAGCCGTGTGTCTAACCTTGAAGACCTTATCGTCTATAGATTTTAAAAGAGTGATAAATTTAGAGTTAAACATATGGATAACAGCACTCACTGATCCAGCGTATAAAACGGCAAAATAAACATGGCATCTCTACTCCAGACACTCATTGCCTGAACCAAGCTTAGCATGGGCGTTAATTATCCGTCTCCACTATAAAAAGACGGTCTTGCCCTCTGCCACTTTGTGCCATTCAAAGGGAAAAAACTGTTGAGCTACACTGAAATCTCACCCTCTTGTTTTCATGAAGAAGCCATATTACAGACAAGCGCATTAACAACACAATCTGGGCTGCGGTTGCCACTTCATTCATCAGGTAGTATTTACTGTATTTTTGATCAAATAAATGCAGTCTTAGAGAGAATATGAGGATTCTTTCAAAACCTTAAAAAATATTACCAACCTCAAACTTTTCAATGGTAGTTTATCTAAAATTGCATTAGACAGCAAGATATGGTAACACTTTAGTATAGGGACCAATTCTCACTAGTTAACTAGTTGCTTATTAGCATGCCTATTAATAACATATAGGCTGTTTATTAGTACTTATAAAGCACATATTCTGCATGTCCATATTCTACATCCCTAATCCTACACTTAACAACTACCTTACTATTAATAAGCAGCAAATTAATAGTTTATATTGAGGCAAAAGTCACAGTTAATTGTTTGTTAATAGTAAGAATTAGACCTTAAAATAAAGTGACCCAAAATACAAATACAAAATATTAAATAGCAAATAGTTTTCAGTCAATGTCAAAGCCAACCATGATTTTGACTTTTGATATTGAGTATAATCTTACATACATGGTCTCAGAAAACCACAGGCACCTATTAAATAAACTAAACAAAACAAATAACAATATTAATTCCATGCACACTCTTTAAAGGTAACTGAGAATGTTTAATCTCATTATACCACAATAACAAGGTTAACAACCAAACAATAACTAATAAAATTCAGTCCTGTATGTTCAAAATGTGTTCATCTCTCTGACAAAATATTATCCTGGATTCAATGGATTATTGTCTTATATTCCTAAACATGACCTTGGAGGCACTCTGTTGCTTCCAGTAACTATGGAAACACAATGAAGCCCCCAAACTCCTGCACCACAATGGAAAGACCAAAATTAAATTTGGTCTATTGTCCAAGGAAAGGAATCAATAACCTGATGATTTAACATGGTAACATTATTTTCGCCCAGCCGTGTGTCTAACCTTGAAGACCTTATCGTCTATAGATTTTAAAAGAGTGATAAATTTAGAGTTAAACATATGGATAACAGCACTCACTGATCCAGCGTATAAAACGGCAAAATAAACATGGCATCTCTACTCCAGACACTCATTGCCTGAACCAAGCTTAGCATGGGCGTTAATTATCCGTCTCCACTATAAAAAGACGGTCTTGCCCTCTGCCACTTTGTGCCATTCAAAGGGAAAAAACTGTTGAGCTACACTGAAATCTCACCCTTTTGTTTTCATGAAGAAGCCATATTACAGACAAGCGCATTAACAACACAATCTGGGCTGCGTTTCCCAAAAAGAACGTAAGCTTAAGTACATCGTAGACCCATTGAAACCAATATGGCTACGATTAACTTAAGCTTATGATGCTTTTGGGAAACGCATCCCTGGTCTACAGTTTTTATAGAGCACTAGACCAATTGACAGCTGTGGATTAGGAGAGGAGTGTAAGATCCCAAAGAACCCAACAATACCGGAGGTAGTTTGGTTTTCATGGACTGTGCTGTAGAACAAAGAGCTTTGTAAATGCAATGACTCATGGGTGTTACTTACAACGATGTGTGCTGGAGAAGGTGACCTGGCATCTTTAAGTGCTTGTCTACTCTGAAGACTTCCTGCTTGAACATCTAGCAGGGGCCATTTCATCTGTAGATACTGGATGGCAGAAAGAAAAAAATGGAGAAAAACAAAAGAAAAACATGTTAACAATGCAGAAAACAAAGGGAAACATAACATAAGAGCTAAAATATCAACAACAAAAAAATGTGTGACATAGAAAGCAAAAGTAAACAAAAAGAAATCATGTCAAAAAGATCCAAGGTCGAATGATGCATGAGGTGGAGCTTCTTGAAAACTGAAACTACTGGTGTTAAGATTAATTTACACTTTATGCTTGTCGTTAAAAAAAACAGCACATTTTGAACCACACACTCAAATGCATTCAGGTGAATATGTTGATTCTTCTTCCTGTATTAATCATGCACAAATGTTTTATTGCCCTCTGGAATTTCAGGTGGACTTTGTGTACATTTTTCCTTGTACACATAATAAGGGTGTGGCACTGAGTCACTGCAGTGACTGTACTCGTGAATGATTGACCTGGACTTAATCAGAGGTGTACACAGGCAAACAGCCCTTTCATGAACCCTTACATCGCTCTTACAGCCAACAGATGAAAATAATCACCATGAAGAGCTCCATTATATATTCAAACTCTTAATTTAATCTGTAAAATCAAATAATTTTTTGAAAGCTCAATATATATGAAAACAGATTTTGAACATATGGTTTGTAATAGGCATATGCCCAAAATATGTTGCATTCAAAAGGTAAAGTCTGAGTTTCCTATTCAGTTGACATGAAGTCAGTATATCATTCCATCTTTCTTCTGCCTATAATATCTCCATTCTAACTCCAAGCCCTGAACCCTGATGGACACATGTTCTGAGGTCAAATGTCTGTTCTCACCCATGGACTGCAGGATCTGCTTAGCAGACCACCCCTTTACATGTATCCTGTGTGCCTGAGTGACCTCTCATTTAGAGATCACATGCTGGGCCCATTACCAACCTGCTGTTACTGTTCCAAAACTGGTGTGCCTAATGTCCTTAGTCCATTAGCCCACAGCAAGTGAACTTGACCCCTGAACTTTAAACCTGTTTCCGTAGAGGCTTAGAGACAACCGGCTGATCGTGAACGTGACTTAGACTCGGCTATCTGAGACTAGGGATGGGTATCGTTAAGGTTTTAACGGTATTACTACTCTTACCGATACTGCTTATCGATGCGATACTTTAACGGTATTCTTATCTGTACTTTTTGTTATATATATATATATATATATATATATATATATGACAAATTAAGAGCTGAATTAACAGAGCTGAGCTGCATCTTACATTAATCACCGATTGAGCCGATTCTGACGTTAAGTTTGGGTTTTAGGGAGGAACGAATGCGCACCACTGTGAAGGGAAGTTGCGCAAGACGAAACGCAGCTAGTTTTTAATAGCTTTACCTCATGTCTTCTTTTGTATAATCCTTAGAAACCAAAATCAAAATGAAAAAATAAAATTAGCTTAATAAAACAGCCACAGGCCTAAAGTGTAAGCAGATGTTTGAATGTTTAGTTCTCTCTTCTATCATACTTAAACAGGGCTTTCATGTTGCGCGTGCTGAAGCTCCTCCGTGGGCGCGATCTCGCTTCTGAATTGCGAATAGCAAAAATGCATCATAGACAAATGTTTGAAAAACAGCTGGCGACTCTGGTGAGATAGAATTTGCAAGATAATGTATATATAGCAATAATAAATGTATGTGTGTTTTATTAATTTCTCCAGTACCGATAGCAGAACCATTAACGTCAGAGCTTATCGATACTCCGGTCTTTCATAATTTAGCCCCGGGACCGATTAAATACCGGGTTTCGGTACCCATCCCTATCTGAGACATGGGTGTCTCATCAGGAAATGTGTGAGGGTCCACACATTCCTAACACTTGAAGTGTGGCTGTTGTATTAGCTGAATTACACAGGTCAGGGGTTAACTGGGCCCTGATTGCTATTATTATGGGAAACCTGAAGAGCAACAAACACTGAGGTAAAAAAGTGACCATTGGAAACCGCTGCTCTGTTCAATGACAAAATAAATTCAAATAAGAATTCAAACCATCTATGTTACTAAATAGGAGAGTTGAGTGGATTTGCATGTGGGCTTGGCTGATGTCAAAATATTTAAGGAAGCATTTAAGTTGAATGGAAAAGACAGAAGGAAAGAAACAAAGAAATGAAGGAAGGACAGAAGGAATGGTGGACGGAAGTAAAAAAAGACAGAAAGAAAGGTGGGGTAGACACACCAGCTGGGGCTCAATTTCTTAACCTTGGCGCAATTTTGGATGCAGTCTTGGGTCCGTAACATGAAAAATGAATTTAGAGTACACTCTTTTTAGGCCTAATGCATGCTGTGCTATACTTCATCAGATCCCCAAAGGAAACTTCTGATGAGTCGGTCGGCCTTGTAACTTGGCCTCCTATGCTGCCAGGACATCAACCACTGGGCTCCAAATCAACTGAAAAAACTTGGCCCAAGTGAGCCACAAATCAGAATCAAATCCATTCCCATGTCTGACCAGATCCAGCCAATCAGGGTCAACCTTACAGCTCCTACTCTCTGTCCCGCTCTATCCAATCAAACAGCTTCATGCCTTCCCTTATTACAGCCTACCGGTGGAGTTTGTTTGACCTTGTCAGGCCTCCTTTGAGATTTTACTCTTCTTATGAGGACATTCCAAGCTCCACTTTGCCAAAGACAGAAAAAGAAAAAATGCCTGGTTCTGTGGCTCACTATTTAAGCAAATACCCATGAAATGAGGCTGTAGTTGTAAGGCTGTTCATGTGTCTTCAAGAATAGGACTGAATCAGAGCTAATTAGAGGTGGATTCACAGCAGGATGCATTCCTGTGATCCAGTCTGGAGGAACTTTTGGACTCCTACCTTGGCCTCAACTTGATCATACCCAGCTCCAAATAGTCAAACTGGTTGCTGGTATATTGAAGCGTATTGTTTACAGGTGGACAGGAATGCCACATTAAGAATCTGCTCAAGTTTAATGCAAAAATAACACGTAATAATCATAAATAAGTTTTAGTTTGAAATGTGTGCGCATGTAGGACTAGGTAATATCTTGGTAGGTAGGACCAGGTAATGACCTGTACTCCAGCGCTGTGAAGTTTAGTTTGGATGGGGTGAAAGGTGACACCTTGCCAGTGTGGGTGCTGAAAGCTTAGTACACGTACTCTGACAGGCGTATCCACTTCAGACCTTTCCCTTGGTCTAATCCCTCCTGCAGGTTTTACAAGCATGCCAAGGAAAGCTGAGCCTAGACCAGTGCCAAAGCCCCAGCAGTGTTCCCTTGCAGCCTAACCCCCTACACCACCCCTGGCCTGCTGACGGACGCACCACTTGGGTTTGAGAAGGCCATGACCTCTGACCTCCCCCGCCTCTTCTCTGCCTACTAAAAACTCTCCAGTTAGGAGGCCCCCTTCCACGTAACTCAAGTGCTATTCTGATGTGACAAACTGCTCTGGAACTCTGGAGAACTCAGTACCCTCCCCATTAGCCTTCAGACTAACCCAGAGTGCTTACTCTGTCCTGGGGCCCCAACAGCAGGGGCTCCCCTTCGCCTCCCCCACCCTTCAGCAAACCCTCAAGCCTTGCCTCGCCTTCTCCTGCCTTGCCTCAGCACAGCTACAATGGGAATGAATGACTCAATTGTCTCTGATGAAGTGAAAGACAAGGGAGCCCTCTAAATCCTCCAAAAGGGATGAACTCTCTCTCTGTCCCTCTATTGCCTGGAGACTTCCGGGAGAAAGAGAGAGAGAGGGAGTCAGAAAGAGAGAGATAGAAAACACCAGAGACCACGAGTTGCATAATCAGGTCTTCTGGCAAAATCTTTTCACCTAAACTGGATCTGGAGCTAAATTTTGCAACCTGACCTTTGCAGAAACCCTTTATTTTTCATGGAAAATCATTCTAAACCAGAACTCCACTTTACAATGTTAGGCCTACAGCTAAAGTCATCTGGATTATAGAAGCATTTGCAACAGTAAGTAAACTAGAGCAACAAAACTGAATGTGATAACCACATTTAATCCATGTAAATTGCGTGTTTGATTTGATTTTGGATTAAGAGCAAAGGCTTTTCCACAATCAGACAAATCAGATGCCTAATTTGTCAGAGAGACTAGGGATATCTACGGATCTATTTTCAGCTGTCCAGCATGGGATGAACCAATGCATTAGGAAGCATTCCAGCCACATTAACAAAGTACACAGGAAAGCAATGTACAATGTACACCTGAAGACAAAATGGTGTAAGGGGGTCCGGAAGATCCCAGACCATCTGTGGAGAGGGGTCAAGAACATATGCAGCTACTAACACACATGGCACATGCATCCAAATGTTAATTTAACCATCACCATATCCACACATGATCTAAGGGTGTGAGAGCTGACCTCTTGCTAATTGCAAGAATAAAACAAGACATTATTTAAGCTAAGACACCTGAAACAGACTGATCAGATGTGGCCTGGTGGCTAGTGTGCATGCTCTAACACAGTGTTTCCCAACCGGGGTGCCGTGTAAAAAAATAATTTTTGAATATTTTTAAATTCCTAAAATGTTCAAAAAAGCATCTATTATATAATATCCATTTCTGATGTCGCCAATAATTAGAGATGCACCGAAATTTCGGCTGCCGAAAATTAGTTCACCGCTCAGGTTTCACTTTCACGTGGTGTGACGCTCTGCGTATTATCCCGCTCTATGCGTGTGCGCTCCGCTCAGTCGCTCCACTCGTATACCGTTCATGCGAATCGGAACAGCAAAGTCCACTCAAAAATTGAGCCGACAGGAAACATTGATGTAGTACAGTATTGTTTCTGTCTGCAATGGCCCTACTGTGTTGTAACATGGTGTGGTATATGGGCAACTCTGGTAACGCTGCCCTCTCATTCATTGATCTACTAACCGCTATGTTATGCTCACGTGCTCTGATAATAATAGCTTTCTAGGACTAAAAATAAATAAATAAATAAAAAATGTTAAATATCTTAACCCTACTGTTAGACCTACCTGAAAAACTAAAAAGCAATTTA